GCTGCTGAAGAACAGGAGAGATGTGGTTAATGGAGGGGGTACTGGTGACGATGCGGGCGGCAGAGTTCTGGACCAGTTGAAGTCTGTGGATGGATTTGAGAGGGAGACCAAAGAGAAGGGAGTTGCAGTAGTCGATGCGGGAAGTGACCAGGGTGTGAACAAGAATGGCGGTGGTCTTAGGGTTAAGGGACGGGCGGAGGCGGTTGATGTTGCGTAGATGGAAATAGGCAGACCGAGTGATATTACTGATGTGAGATTTGAATGAAAGTGTGCCGTCGAGGATCATCACACATGTAGCAATAGCCAAGTTTAGCATAAAATGTCCACCATGTTACTATTTTGCACAGTAACAGGGTGGACACACAGTAACAGGGGATGTTAAACAAAAGCTTTTTAAACATAATATCCTGAGCTTGACCAAAATATGTTTCTTATACTTTAATAAGCCATCATTCAGGTTAAATAATTAAATGCAGAGATATTAAATAATGTTTGATTAACCTAGCTGAAATGGCACCGAATGCTAGGAATGACTCATGAGGAAAGCAAAGCACTGCACATTTGTTTAGGGGATGAGACATGAGACAGACAGACAGACAGAGCAGCTGAACACAAACCAAGAAGTTCATTTGACTTCAATAGTTTTATGACAAGATGATTGTTAATTGTACAACATTGAGATTTACAGCTGACAGAACTCCCAGTAAGGAAAACAAACCATTCATCCTCACAAACAGGCAGAGATGTATTGTAGGTTGCAGTTGTGTCTCATTTTGCATCCGGCTGCGCAGATATTCACCTTCAGTCTCTGGTCTACTTCTTTTTACACCTGGCTGAGTTTGGTGACGATGAGCACGCGCACAGTCTGGTCGAAGCCGGAGCACACACACAGGCCCTTCTTGTCGGGGCTCCAGTCCAGGCTGGCGATTGGCTGCGTGGACAGCGTGGCGTTCTGTAACAGCGTGACGGAGCCAGCTACGCCCACGGCCAAGTCGTCTGAGTCTGTCTTGCTTCTCTGAGAGGGATACTCACTGGCAAAAACAAACATTTGATGGATTAGCTTATTTCATTTGTATTTAATGTATAACAACTATTTACAAAACATGTCTCTATAAACACACCATACCCGGAAAGGAATATAATCTTATATTACCTGCCCCTTTCTCAAAAATAAAATGTTTCTTATTCACAGCCAATCATAACAGTATCGTAGGAAAATGAGAGAAACACAAAAACGTACAAACAAAAATACTTAGTTCCCACTTGACAGTTAACGGAAAGAAACAAAACAAAAAAGCATCACTTAGTAAAGCATGGAAATGATTTCTCATAAATAAAACAATCATGACGAGTCCTTTAAACAGGACTTAATATAAAAGTTAATGCTGGGTTACTTACTATTTCCAAAGATTTAGGTTGCCTGCCCCCCCGGTAGTCATGAAGATGTCTCTGTTTTGAGGCAAGTGCTTCACCTGCCAGATGGTCGACTTGTGAGCCTAAAACGAACAACAGGTGTCATTTACTTCCCGAAACAATTCATTTAGTAAGGGCAACATTCATTCCCAGCCCCTTTCAAGCCAAAGCCTTATTTTAGAACAGCTGTAAATCACTTTAATCAGCTGAGGTTTAAATAATGTTGCATCGCTGACCTGTCATTCTGCGCAAAGTGTTTCCCCTTTTATTTCCGTATTGTCTTACATTTTTAAAGACTGTTTTTGACACAGTAGTTTCCATCCCTTGTATAATCTCTGCTATCAGGCCTCTTTTCTTTAACCACACTTTTCCATAAACTTGTGTCAACTGGCCAAACTGCTTTAAGATACGTGGAACAGTTATAATTAGTTATTTGACACCACTGAGTCTGGTTTCAACGATCAATGTGGTTATTAATCACATAACTATGATGCCATGGAAAAGAGACAATAATAAAACAACTATATCCTACTTTAACTCAAACTTATAGCACACATCAAGGTATATGCAGGAATGTTGAAGTCAGATGTAATTCATTTCAAGACCTTTTTTAAGACCCTTTCCATACATTTTAAGACCTCATCGCCACTTTGAGTTTTAACCGGTTACCTTGACGACACACTTCACCTCACATTGACTATATACAGTATTGATCGTCCTTCCTCCTTATCTTCCAACCATTTGGACGCAGACTTGCATTTCCCCATAACGATGTTGCTTAGCAACCGGCGTAAACGGACCTTTGCGCTATCAAGCAGTGAGCGTGCGACGTCCTGTTCAGATGACGTCACATCCAACGGGATGCCATAAATAAACTACACAGAATCACACTACACACCTACGCAATGATTACATTCAGGCAGACTGTAGAGACCAACCTCTTTGGACCATTTATATACTTATTGAAAACAAGCTACAAAATGTAATACCTTGGAAATGCCGTTTAATACTTTTTAATAGCCTTCATTTTCACTAAATTGATTGATCAACTTTTAATCACCTCGCGGACCCCCTGTAATAATAAAACAACTATATCCTACTTTAACTCAAACTTATAGCATACATACTAGCTTCAGAATCCACTTGCCAGTTTGTTCTACTGTTTTAAGGTGTTTCGCATAATGATAGAAACAATCCCCACTTCTCTCTGCTGACCGGCCCGGTGTCACAAAGCCCCACTTCTCTCTGCTGACCGGCCCGGTGTCACAAAGCCCCACTTCTCTCTGCTGACCGGCCCGGTGTCACAAAGCCCCAGAGAATATTAGACAAACACGACCCCAAACACTTTCAGCTGTGAAAACGGCCAAAACGATTTTCCCCTCTGTACCACGCAAATGTAAAAATAATAATAATTATAATAACCGTTTGACATTTTTCCCATTCGGGGGAGCCAAACATCCGTCTGCGCCCGGGTCAATTACCTTTTCTGAGACGGAGCTGAAGCCCTTGGTGGGGTGTTGGGTCCTCATGTCAAAGACGTGGAATTTTCCCTCCAGTGACGTGGCAACCAGTTTATTCATGTTGATGTCTTTCCTGTCAAACTCCACGCAGCATACCTGGCCATGATGCAAGAAAACATAACCGTCACTCGCTGGACATTCACCAAAAACTATTATCCTTACAACAGAATGTGTGTTGAAATGGACGTAAAAACCCCTGGTGAGTTCATGGAGGTGATGAATAAGAGAAGGCGTTCTATCCCCAGAGTAAAAGCTAACATGGTGAAGCAGTGTTCAGTTATTATGCTCCATATATCTGCGGAAAATTCTCCAAATACTGCAGGTCCGCTTCAGCTCTCACTTCTTTTGAACCAAGGCCGAAAAGATTCATATTTGCTTCTGCCTTTTTAAAAGCAAATTATTATTAATATCTTTAACTGCACTGTAACTTTTATTCTTGTATTTTATACCAATCTTATTTAATGTTAGCTTGCTTCAAAATGTAACTATCTTGATTTGTAAATGAATGTTTTTAAATGGATTGAAGTGTGAAGTTTATGATTTGTTTTTCTTGCACTTTTAATGTTTATTTTATAAAGCACTCTCTCTCTATATCAATGAACATGCCTTGCCTTAACTTGCCTCTTGAAATCAGTGCAGTGCTTTGTAAATGGTGTGTGAGGGTAACATGCATACAGACTTCCTCTGTGGCTTTATGGGCAGGGAAGTCATTTTAAGCTGTCTCCAAATCTGTCTCAGTGTGTGTCTATGATTCAGTCAGGTAGCAGTGCAAGAGAAAACAAATGTATGTTTACACGGTTTGTCCGAATAGAAACATGAGTATTAATATGAGGACTGCTCTCAGCGCTCACTGAGTCACTTTGTTCCCCTTTTCTTCAGAAGTGGTTGTAATGTTCTTGCTGTGGAGCCACGCTGTCTGACTTTAAGAAATCAAAAGGAAAATGTTCTCCTGAAGTGTTAAACATCAACACCCACTTATTAGAACATGTTTTCTTATGTTCACCTCACCCCGTTTTTAATGTTGGTTTCCCACCGTAGAGACATGTTTCTCAAGTCAAAGAGTTTGATGTCGCCGTTGTCGTAGCCAGCACACACACAGCGGTCCTGATCATTAAAGGCATGACCTGTGATGAAAGGGTCAAAGGAACAATTAACAGTGCTTTCGTTCATAATGGTTAAAAAACACTTAACCAGACGTTTGAAACAGGGCTGGTGTTTTGGAGAGATTTTTATTTCACACACCTAATGCAACCGTCCAGCAGTCCCTCTTAGTCTCTCCTTCCCCGGGCTCCATGTTGGCTACAGGTGAATCCTTCTGTCGGGTATCCCACACCTTTACTGTCCCTGTAACACCAGAGAGAGTTTTACATTAAGCTCTCTTCAAGATTCAAGGCTTTTATTGTCATGTGTGCAGCAGCTACAGTGTAGTTATGACAAGGAACATCTTAGGTCACAGGCTCCTCCAACAGTGCAACACAATACAACAGATAATAGTGCAAGTAAATCAAATAATATAATAGAAGTAGTGCAGAATAGTCTACAAGTAATTGGAATATTGATTTACATAAGTTGCAAACGGATGAATGTTATGGATGTTCTTTAAAAAGTTCAGGTGTTTAACAGTCTTATGAATGGGATGAAACTGTCCCTTGCGATTGCTTTGAAAAGTTGTATTCATAAACTACATTAAACTTTGTTATCGCTCTTACCGTCTCTGCTTCCAGTGACTATCTCGGGTGCGCCATCACCGATCCCCAGGCCGCCAACACCATCAATACTATTAATGATCTCTTTGTGGGCCTTAACACTGAACACCGGAGTACCAGGCACCTCCAGGTTCCTGTGGACAACAGAAGCATCCACAGTGAAGGAAACAGTCAGCTTAAAAACAGAGTCAGTGTGACCCCACTTTCAATTCAGTCAGACAGTGATGTATCTTTCACATATTCCACAACTAATTGTCCAGTGATTCCCACAGCATGTTAATACTTTGGGGGGCCCCCAAAGTATAATGGCTCCCCCCAAAGTATAATTTGTGTGGTTTTTTTTCTTTTTTTACTCAGTGAGCACTCATTTGCATTGGTGGCAATGAGTGCTCAGTGAGTAAAAAAAACTTAAAAAACCATAAATTATACTTTGGGGGGAGCCACCCATAAATTATACTTTGGGGGGAGCCATTATACTGGTAAACAGCCTCTATGGGCGCGAGTCCAGACCCACTTTTGGAATCAAATGATGACGTCAGTGGGATTATCTCCTTTATCAACTCCTAAGCATCCCCGGGACAACATCACTAGCCCCGCCCCTAAAAAGGTGTGAACTTGAGCCAATCAAGGACTACTACTAGGTCGTCCTTAGACGAGTTTGCCAACGGGTTCACCAATCCTCACGGTCCTCCATACACCCGGCCAGCTCTGTGGAGCTTTCCACCCCCACATCCTTCCTCAGCACCTCCACGTATGTTGGCGTGGGGCGCCCTCTTGGTCGGTGCCCGTGTGTTGGCTCCCAGAGTACTAACTTGCCAGCTGGAAGTTCCTGGTGTCGATGGCAGTGACCTGCAAATTTCAGTTTCCTGGATGCCACCTTGTCACTCAGCCTGGGTAGCCCACCAGGACTAGCCCCGCTCCTAAATTTCACCAGTTTGTATATAGTTAAAATAAAGTTATCCGGTGATTAACGATCAGATACCAGTGTGGAGTTTTCTGTCTTAAATTTGATATAGATCATGTTCTTTGTTGATTCGCACCCCCGCAAATCAACCCCCCCCCCCCCCCCCCCCGAGTCGTTCCCCCAAAGTATATTTCATTTCTGCGGGAATCACTGTTGTCCATTTGAACATCTTCAAATGGACAACCAGCTTTAGCACACAATGGTTTTCTTTCATCATATCACTTTAATACTGGCAATAAACAGATGGTGTGATAAAGGTGGATGTGGATAAATACCATATATTGAGATTTCCACCAAAATCCCCAGTTGCTAAGTGTCTTTGTTGAAGAGATGTGGCCCCGAATGTCCCGCACTTGATTGGTTTAGGAAATTCTTGCTGAAACATGAGAGGTGAAGTTTAAACTACACATATATAATGTGACATTGAACCAATTGCCCAAAAAGCATTACTTCAAATGATTAAGAACAGGGTCTCATCCATCCTAAACGTGGTACAGATATGCTACATAACATTATTAATCCTTATTTTCACGCCTTCTCTACACTGTTGATGTTCTTATGTTGACACACACACACACACACTGCTGTACATTGATGTATGTTGTAGGGCTGGTATTTAGTACTTTAAGAAGGACAGGTGCACTTCAGGTGAAATTGTCCTTCAACATTAAAGTAATGACAACATTTCACATAAAATGTATCCTCAAGTAATATGACATAGTATTCTGAAATGGGTCATTCTGCATAGTGAGTACTTTCACTTTCGATACTTTAAGTGACTAACACTTTACTTTACTTGTAACAGAGAGTCACACACACACACACACACACACACACACACACACACACACACACACACACACCACACACACACACACACACACACACACACCACACACACACACACACACACACACACACACACACACACACACACACACACACACACACACACACACACACACACCACACACACACACACACACACACACACACCACACACACACACACACACACACACACACACACACACACACACACACACCACACACACAACACACACACACACACACACACACACACACACACACACACCACACACACACACACACACACAGTATATGTATAAAAAGGTATATACATTATATAAAGCCCACGAGGGAAAAGATGCCTGAACTATTACTACTAAATGTCGTTGGCTGTCTTTCTTAACATTGCCTGTTGCTATGGAGACAGTAACCTAGCAAGACTTTTCTGGCTAACTAAGCTAACCCCAACACAAGCGGGGTTCATAGCGCTTTTCCTGAGTAAAATATAGGACAAAGACAAACAAAAAGTAAAATGTTGACTTGTTCTGTACCTCCTTGATAAGCTGAGCCTCTCCTTGCTGCACTTCATATATCTGCATTACTCCAGTTCCTCTCGCATAGTTCCCCAGGCAGACGAACTTCGCGCTGCAAGGAATCCATTTACTGTCAAACACTGTGTAGTTCAAACTCTTCTGAATATGCGAAATAATCTGAGGCTTATCTAGTGGCGATGACATCTTAGCTGTTTGGTTGATAATATGTTAAAAGTATATTTTTCTTGTAAAACTACCAAGAAACCCGAAGTCCGATGCAGCTCGCTGCCAAAACAAATGAGGTTGAGAATGTCCTACAGCTGAGCGTATGGGTGTGTAAATATATGCCTGACAAATATGTTAAATGTAAGTAAATATTGTACGTATTTTAAACACAACATATATTTACCCATTCACTCAACTGCCTTAAAATAAAGAATAGGACTCAAACGTGAGATATTTGTCTGTTACTATTCGAACATTTACAATTTGCTATCTACAGGCGTCAATGTTGTATCTTTGTGGGTCCTTTTCGTTACACGAGGACATCCACATGCCTCTGTATCCACAGTCTGCCTGAATATTTGGCTGTTTAATTGGATTTTATATCAGTTTAAGATATGGACACTGAAACAATTCCAACCCCAGACGATGGCGTTGCCATGGAGAGTAAAGAAGACACAGAGGCTTTCACAATGGTGAAGTCGAAAAAGACTCAGAAGCGAAAACGTGAACAAGATGGAGCGGACATGGACACAGAGGCGCCCGTGGCGAGCAAGAGACCGCAGTTTCCACCTATTTCAAGCGACAAATTAAAGGTAAATAAAGAGTAAACTGTCTCTATACATGTGTTATGTGTGTGTTCTTCGATATCAACAGAAATACGTGTTTTTTGATGTTATTAGTCTCCTTCACAAAGTAGCAAGTAACTAGTTTTGCGCTTGCGCAGTATGGTCTTCTTACTGCACTAAATAAAGCCACTGTATGTTGTATAAATGGCACAACACTGGTGAAAGAAGTAATCCGATCTCTTTTACAACAACGTAAACTACTCTATTACTAGTTCTGGTCATGCATTGGAAATAATAAGTCAGAGCATGTAGGTATTATTAGCAAACTACTTAAAGTATTATAAATAATGTATTGATTGTACTGTACAATACAGTGTCAGTGTTTAACTATAATCTCTGATATTGTTGGCCATCAACCTGCTCTTATTTTTCCTATTGTTGCTGCATTGCTAAGTGCTTTTGATGCACACATCTTTTGTTTTTGTAACAATTTTGTTTATTTTTTAAAGTTTATCACAGGCATTCAAAATCACAACAAACACAGCAGTAACAGGCCTAATAAGAGCACCCACAATTTAAAAATGAGCATTGCACATTAATGGATCAGTAATGAAATGTAGAAAAAGCACAATCAAACACAGGAGTGACAAGTGTGCTTTAATTGTTAATACCAAAGTACATGGTAATGGTAATACTTGTTGTTAATGTTGTGTCAGTACGATGAGGATTGTTATGTGTGTGTTTCAGGGCGCAGATGAGATGCGCAAAGTCGCTGTCCCGGCTCACAGATACACCCCCCTGAAGGAAAACTGGATGAAGATATTCACCCCCATCGTAGAGAACCTACAGCTTCAAGTTAGATTCAACCTCAAGACTAGGCATGTTGAAATCAAAGTAAGTTTACCCTTTAAATATAGGCGAAGTTGACTGGCCCTTTTTACAATGATTCCTTTCTGGTACCCACAAGTTTGTCAACATTCTAATAACATGCCTTCTTTCTTCCAGACGTGCAAAGACACAAAGGACATTGGCTCGCTCACAAAAGCTTCAGATTTTGTTAGAGCGTTTATTCTGGGATTCAATGTTGAAGTAAGTGAACTAATGGAAGGTTTTGATAAGATGTATATGTTTTCATGTCATGGCTCTGGCATGGCTAACATATTCAACATTTATATGTCAAGACAATATAAAGATGCCAGTGGTTAAGATTTAGGGTTAGGACTAGATCTCATTATTGGTTTGATTCATTTTGGACTGAAATCAAGATGAAAACGTCCTCTTTTCTCCCCAGGACTCCCTCGCTCTCCTCAGATTAGATGAGCTTTTCCTTGAAAGCTTTGATGTTACAGACGGTAAGATGTCATGATCCATATTTGCCTCTTTAAAACTTGATGTCCCCTGCTACGAAATGAACTGAATGTCTTAAATCGTGGTGAGTATTTCATTGTTTCTCATGGTGTCTTTCTTTAAAGTGAAACCTCTGAAGGGAGATCACTTATCCAGAGCCATCGGAAGGATAGCAGGGAAGGGAGGAAAAACCAAGTTCACCATTGAAAACGTCACGAAGACTCGCATTGTGCTCGCAGAGACGTGAGTAGTCTTCATTATTTCAGATCATTTTACCAATACAATTGTATTAACATGTTTATTAATCACGATTTACAGAGGACCTATCATGCGAAATGCACTTTTTGATGTCTTTCATACATAAATGTGTCCCCGGTGCGTCAGGGAACTCACGCAGCGTCAAAAACCCTTTCTCTTTTCCTCCGTACCCAAATCTTTTAAAAACGGGGGTACAACGAGCGGATACAGATTTGCTGCCGATATTACGTAATTTCGGATGGTGGACCCACGGAGAGTTGCTATCAGAAACAATGCCTGACGTGTTTTGGATGTAATCTCGTCTTTGTTTACATTAGCAAGCCTCGCTAACACTCAGAGCTAACCTGTACTGTAGAGCAAGTGTTTAAAAAGCAGGAAATAAAAAAAGAACTCACCTTGTGGTAAACCCGCAAGAGAAAAAGCATTTGAGCTCCATACTATTTCAGAAATAATCCTTGAAGTGGTTTAGAACAGGATGGCGTTTTATCACAGCAGAATTTAACTTTATCTCCGGTAGAATTCTGATCAGGCATTAGCTCCTCTTATTATTATTTTTCAAGCTAAGGACCCAAAATCAGCGTTTCTCTAACAGGGCTGCAAAAGAGGGGTTTGAGCAGTATGAGGCATGGCTACAATTAGGGTGTTTGGTATTTTAAGCAAAAAACTTTACACTGACATGTTTTGTATAGGTATGGCCCTACAATATATGTTTCCAATATAGCATAATAGGTCCACTTTAATTTAAGTTCTTTAAAAATAAATGTTTTGCTTTCCGTAACTGTGACACATGTTCCATTGTATTTTTTATTATATTATATATTTGTAAAATTCTCTGTAAAAGTCACCTTTGCCTGTTTTTCCCCCCCGGGGTTTTATTAAATGCCGAAAAAACATTTTGATATAATTATTTAATGGCAATTGTGAATTCTTAGCTTGTTTTTTCCTTGAATGCATGCATTATATATGAACTTTTTTAGCTTTCAAATGAACTTGTTGGTGTACAAATTCAGAGAAATGTCTATCTCTTGTTTCTCTTAACTGATGAACACTCCTTCTTCTGTGTCTCAACAGAAAAGTTCACATTTTAGGGTCTTTCCAGAACATCAAGATGGCCCGGACAGCGATTTGTAACTTAATCTTAGGTAAGAAAGATGTTTATATGCTGAATAATCAGTACAAGATTTTGGTTGATGTCGTATTTGGTTAAGAGCTCTTTGTACCGACATGCAGTGCTGAGAAGTGACCTTTAAACCCCTTTTTGCCCCGACAGGAAGCCCACCTTCAAAGGTCTACGGTAACATCAGGGTGGTGGCTAGCCGGACTGCAGAGAGATTCTGATTGGCTGCTGTGTGTGTTTTGCTGTCCCCCATTGGCTGGTGGGATTCCCTCGTTGATCTGGGACTTTTTTTCTTGGACTGTCACCTTAGGTTTCTCTTTTATGGCCCTGTGAATTAAGCTGAAACATTTTTGGATCAGTTGAACCAAAGCATGAGGATAAATGGATACGCAGAGTTCAAATATCGGTTGTTTGTGTAAATAAATAATTTCAATCCCCACTAACGAATGAGTACGATTGTGTCACTGAAGTGTATCAAATGTAGAAATCATCAGGGTTTCCACAGGTCTTTGAAACTTTGAACTTTAGGACGTCCTTAAAAGGTTTTTTTAAAATACACAAAGACACGAGTCATTAAAAGTGCTTGAATTTGTATAAAATCTGATTAAAATACAACGATCAAAGTCTGCATGCATTTCTCCCGCAGTTGCGTCAGTTTTACACACTTCCTGCTTGGAGAAATGTAATAACCTTAAAGTGTGTCTCCCACTATGCAATGTTTGGTCCTTGAATTTGAGGAAACTATGCCTGGAAAGTCCTTGAAATACAATATTAGAGCATGAGGCAATCTGGTCAATAACATCCCAAAGGAAAAATCTAAAACTTTTAACATTTCAAAGTTTATTTAAATGAATTTAATTTCATACAGTATCAAGTTTCCAACAGTCCCACAGCATAAGATGCAGCATGCAGAGAAAAGGAAAAACTTCAGATATCCCCACACAAACTAAAAAGAAACCGAGTCCCTCTGAGAAAAATAGCACTTACAACCTAAAGCGCGGTCTGAACTATACAGAGAACAGAGAGCCAGAACTGCATTTAACAAATACTTATATACAAAAGAAAGAAAAACATTAAAATATCCCCTTTAAGCTGAGTACAGTGTGTGGCAGTTTGAGACAGGATCAGATATGCAACCTTTACTGGAATAGAAGCATCTGGCTGACCCGGTTAAATACAAAACATGTAGTTCAGTTCATTTGGATTACCTCTCATGGTATGTGTACATTTACCAACGTTTGGCAACATCCATATTGTATACCATTACATTCTTAAATATATTAACATCACCATCCATGTGTAAACAAGAGGATTATTTCCCAAAAAAATGGATCTACATGCACAACCAAAAAATATATATTTCCATGTCATGCAAGCACAGGGAGACCCAGGCGATGCAGAGCTTTTGGAAAACTGCTGATCAAACCTGAAGCTGGCCTCAGAAGCAAAATTATGTTTATAATAGGAAGCATATTCCTATAATAAATACAAAATGTGGTTGAATTTCTCCATGTTTGTCTTACTGGGTGTGAGGGGAGAAAAAGACAGAACAAAGAAGTGGGAGAGGAAGCCATCTTTCCAAATGGACACGTTCCAAAAAAACTAAAGTATACAGCCCATCCCTTTGCACACTGATGCCAACATGGTAAGAATTGAAGTGTTGACCCGTCCACTGAGAAAATATTCAGAAGAGCTCCAATTGCTGTAATAGATGAGCGTGCATTGATAATGGTTATAAAAACGCTGCCTGCAGATAAGTCTCTTAAAGGTAGGGTAGGTAAGAATGGAGAAACCAGCTCGAGTGCGCTAGAATTTGAAAATACACAACCGGAAAAAATCTGCCCCTTCATTACAGAGCCCCTCCTCCAACACACACGAACGCGCACATGACCAATGAGGGCACGATAAGTTTGTGCACGAGATGGAAGGCTGACAGGCAGGTAGGCCATCCAGTTATTTTAGCCGGGCCGGCTCAGATGATTGGTCGTGCTTTTTACAGCGCCACGGCTTCCAGTGATGACATTTTTTAATGTATTTATTGTCAAAGCATTTCATGTATTAATTGCTATCGGGATGTTAAGAGCATTCAATGGAATATAACAAAAAGTGTTTCTGAAGTGAATTACCTACCCCACCTTTAAGTTGCTATGTACTCACTATTCACACTATATCTTCCAGTTCTTAGCCAAGTCAATCCAGCCTCTTGTCATTAAATACATATCTCAGTGTGAACGCAGAGCCTTTCTTTACTTTGGAGATTGTCTCATGGATGCACACTGCTAAATGAGAGAGTAAACCAGTTTGCAGCCACAAATTATTTTTTCTGGAAAGACATTTTCTTGGCATTAATATATCTACCTATGATTTCATGACAGGAAAACAAGGATAACCTCCAACAATATAAACACATTCTTAAGTATGATTAACACTAGCTTCTCGCAGACAAAGACAAACATGGATTGCTTTACTGGTCTAATCAAAACAGAGGAAGGAAAATCTGAAATGTAGTTTGCATGTAATATGACTGGAGGGAGTGCCGGTCTGCGGGACATGAATGATGAAAGGTAATAACTTGAACTGGTTTCTGGATATGTTCTGGTTGGCACTTCATACCCTACTTTGTTGTTGTACTGTAAGTCAAGTGTTCATAATATGCTATACACTTCCCCTTCAAGAGACAACCGTAGATATACTTGTGTTTCTTTATAAAAGACAAGAACAAAAACATAAATATCAAAAATAACAATTAACAAAAAAGAAAAAGAAAGGATGAATTATGAACAAGCCAATGAGCCCCTTTCCTTTCTCCCCCCCCCCCCATCCAAAAATGGAGTTGCTCTCCAAAAATGACAGTTATAAGTCCTTCAGTCTCTTAAAGTGCTACGACCTGGTTATTGAGAGGATTACAGTTCAATAACACTTCAGTGTGGCTTCACAAGGCCTGTGGTTTCTGACAGAATGAGTGGCTTCAGAGAGAGAGAGAGAGAGCGAGAGAGAGAATACTTCCATTGAGTTACACAGAGAGCGCTTTGCCGGACGTCTGGAGCACATCTTCAGAGATGGTGGAGAAAGCGAGTGTTGAGGAGGAGAGGGGGGGGGTGGGTAGGGGGTCGACGAGCAGGGAGCGCTCACACGTCCACCACCATCTTTTTGTGTATATCGAGACCGCCGACCACCTGGAGGGAGGAGACGGAGGGAGGGAGGGAGGGAGGGAGGGAGGGAGGGAGGGAAAAGATAATACATTTATTATTCTAGTCAGATCAGCAGAATCCTGGTTCTCTGTCTACCTTGTGTGTTTTATGTGGGTGAAGCAGGCTTCAAACGACACATGCGGAAAGTATTTTTAAACATTTTCAGGTTTAAATGATATCTTATAATTTTTTTTGTGTCAAAAGAGCAGTGACGTCTACTTTAAAGGGGACCTATCATGCAAAATGCACTTTTTGAAGTCTTTTATACATAAAGATGTGTCCCCGGTGTGTCAGGGAACTCACGCAGCGTCAGAAAATAAACCCCTCTCTCTTTTCCTCCGTACCCAAATCTCTAAAAACGGGGGTACAACGGAGCTGATCCAGATTTGCGTCCGATATGACGTAATATCTGAAATGTGGACCCACGGCCCTATCAGAAACGTTGCTATCAGAAACAATGCCCGACTGTTTTGGACGTAATATGGTCGGTGTTTACATTAGCATCGCTAACACTCATAGCTAACCTGTACTGGAGAGCATGTGTGTGAAGAAGCAGGAAATAAAAAGGAACTCACCTTGTGGTATAACCGGCAAGAGAGAAAGCCTTTGAGCTCCAAACTGTTTCAGAGAGAATCCTTGATAATCCATGATATGGCGTTTCATCACGGCAGTATTTAGTTTAGACAGTAGCTGCCGGGTCCCGCATGAGCTCAGGCCCCTCCTTTTTTTTTTTTTAATCAATCTTTTTTTTTTTTAAAGCTTTATACCCCAAATCAGCCCTTTTGAAACAGGAAGTGAAATAGAGGGATATGAGGCATGGCATCTGTTTGGTATTTTGAGCAAAACACTTTATAGCCATGTTTTTTATGTATTTTTATATATCTGAGACCTATGCTATTGCCTAAAAATAGCATGATAGGTGACCTTTAAAGTCTCTTTGGAAAGCATATCCTCATTTTATCTGAAATGAATTTATTAATGTTTTAATGTCTTGCATACTATTTAAATGTTGCCCTTCATGTAATTCATCATTCATTAAGAATGAATACTTTAAAAAATATTTGATCTGTGATACACTTTGTACTTAAAACATATAAATACAGTTTAATATTATTATTATTATTATTATACCTTTTTTAATCAATATGTATTATTAGTTTGGACTACATCAATATACTGTGGTTCTTTTTGCTATTAATCTTCAAAATTGTCCCGGTTTGGCTTTTGACAGGACTGTATGACTATGAATATAAATATACGTTTATCTTACAGTTGTAATCTTTGAAAATATTGTTACACTAGCTTCAACTGGATGCCCTAACTGTAGAATAAATAATATAATTGATTCGTGGCTTGGTCCAATACTCACCTCAAGTGCTAGCTGAGCATTTTTTTTAATGCCAAATCGTATGTATCAAGCAGTCACCAGGCTATATGTTCAGCCTTTACATCGTATTTCAAGTGTGAGACTAAAAACCCAGAGCTGTTGAGCCTAAGCAAAAAGCTGTTTTGGTGTTGTTTGTCCACCATAACATGCTTCATCAGTAGAAATCCCACCGCCCCACTCCCATAAAACCCCACTGTGTCTCAGACTTACTAAACAGAACTCTTCGAAGGATATCTTGCCGTCTCCGTCTCTGTCTGCGTTGATGATGGTTTTGTCCACGATCTGCTGCAGCTGCGTGTCCTTCAGGTTGCTGCCCACCATCATCTTCAGCACCTGGAAGAGCTCGCCGTTGGAGATGTAGCCGTCCTTGTCCATGTCGTAGATCCTGAAAGCGACTGTGAGCGCAGGGTGTGGCGTGAGGGAGGGGAGGAACAAATAAAGAGGGAGAGAAAAGAGAGTAAATCATTAACACAGCAACCAAGCACCAAATGTAAGGAGGTATTGTCTCATTGTTCATTTGTTCTTTGCTCCATAGCTTCTCTTGATAACTGGACTTAAACTCCCACTGTACATTTTATATATTCAATTTAATATTGATCACATTTTTTTAACTTTTTAATGCTATTTTATGCTGTTTATTTCTAGTGTCTCAATTTCTCTTATGTACATTGCCTTGTTTTTTATGCTGTTGCAACACAAACATTTCCCAAATTGGGATCAATAAAATACTATCTATCCATCTATCCATCTATCCATCCGTCTATCTATCTATCTATCTATCCATCCATCTATCTATCTATCCATCTAGCTATCTATCTATCCATCTATCCATCTATCCATCTATATATCCATCTATCTATCTATCCATCCATCCATCCATCTATCTATCTATCTATCTATCCATCCATCCATCCATCTATCTATCTATCCATCCGTCAATCCATCTATCTATCTAGCTATCTATCTATCCATCTGTCTATCCATCTATCCATCCGTCTATCTATCTATCTATCCATCTATCCATCTGTCTATCTATCTATCCATCTATCCATCTATCCATCTATCCATCTATCCATCTATCCATCTATCCATCTATCCATCTATCCATCTATCCATCCGTCTATCCATCCGTCTATCCATCTATCTATCTATCTATCTATCTATCTATCCATCTATCTATCCATCTATCTATCCATCTATCCATCCGTCTATCTATCTATCCATCTATCTATCTATCTATCCATCTATCCATCTATCTATCCATATATCCATCCATACACAAATCTATCTATCCATCCATCTATCTATCCATCTATATATCCATCTATCTATCCATCTATCTATCTATCCATCCATCTATCTATCCATCTATCCATCTATCCATCCGTCTATCCATCTATCTATCTATATATCTATCTATCCATCTATCCATCCATCCATCTATCCATCTATCTATCCATCTATCCATCTATCCATCCATCTATCCATCTATCCATCTATCTATATATCCATCCATCCATCTATCTATTTATATATCTCTCTATCCATCTATCCATCTATCCATCTATCTATATATCCATCTATCCATCTATCTATCCATAACAAATCTATCTATCCATCTATCTATCCATCTATCTATCCATCCATCTATCCATCTATCTATCCATCCATCCATCCATCTATCCATCCATCCATCTATCCTATCTATCTATCCATCTATCCATTTATCTATCTCTCTATCCATCTATCCATATCTATCTATCTATCCATCTATCCATCCATCATCTATCCATCTATCCATCTATCCATCTATCCATCTATCCATCCATCTATCCATCTATCTATCTATCCATCCATCTATCCATCTATCCATCTATCCATCTATCCATCTATCCATCTATCCATCTATCCATCTATCCATCTATCTATCTATCCATCTATCTATCCATCTATCCATCCATCCATCTATCTATCCATCTATCTATCTATCTCTCTCTTAATCTGTGAGAGTCAACTACCAGACTGACAGTGAGGTTTCAGACTCTGTTACAAGTTCAACGTATTACCCTTATTAAACATTGTCCCCCATGATAAACTTTTGAGCAAACCAAAACAACAATCCCTTGTTAAACAGGAGTCTAAAAGTTTTCCAAACCTGTTTGTTTTGAGAGATTTGTCTAACTTTAAGCATGTTGACGCAGAACAGCAATGCAAAGCTAATAGAAACCCTCAGTGGTGGACAGAAAAGTCATTTTCAAACACTGCTCAACATTTGTTCCCAGAGGAGTTCATTTGTAATAGCAGTGGTGAGACAAACAGAACAGAGACACACAGGGGACAAAGCCTCGGCTGCTTTGAGTCCCAAAGCAGCAAATTAGGCAGGTATATTTGGGGATAAGAGACTTTGAAACCGTAGTGCTACCATCAGCTTTAATGAAGAAACAGCTTTACTTACACCGGAGCTTCTGCTCTTTGTCCCCCTTGACGCTGAACTGTGAGACTCCCTCGATGAACTCTGGGAGAGGATAGAACAATCAGAGATTTGGGTATTAACAGTCATGATAACATTATGGCAGTATTATAATATATTGATAGTGGCTGAACAAGGCCTATGATAGAGCTAAGGCAGGGGTGTCCAAACTCCGGCCCCATTTTGCCCCCAGCTAATAAAAAAAGTATAATGAAATATAGCCCACAAATGAAACTTGTGCTTGTCATATATCGTACTTCTGAAATATATGTGTACAAATATATGACACAGTATTCATGTGTTAATAAGCCCACTAAAGTTGGAAACATTTTCAAACAAATCTTAGTTGATAAAAAAAAGCCCAATAACTTAATTACATTACAAGCTTGAAATCTACCCTTTATATTTCTTCTTTTTAAAAGCAATCTGAGGATTCTGTTTTAAGGAATGAGCCGCCAACAAAATAAATGAAACCCTCTGGAAGCTCTGTCATGTAGGCTGTTGTGTTTCCTGTTAAGCCCCGAGCCTGTTTTCCAGGTCTCATACTCGAAAATGACATGCCCAGAACAATTGACGATATCTTCACTTCTAAAAAGGGGTAAATTAATTATCTTTTTTCTCAAAGCAATCATACACCTGTGAGTTAGATGTAGAAAAGTCAGAATCAATATAGATGGTTTTATTTTAAAGTAAATTCAGATTGAACATAGTAAAAAAATGTAAATTATAGTGTCCGTCCAAAAGAAAACCATTACTTAGTGAAAACCACCCTTGAATGATGGGATAGTAGACTAAAAGCTTTAGGAATCCAAACTATAACATATAATAAGTACCTTGTATCAAGATTGATGCAAAACAAGTGACAGTTGACCTTTTTAGAGAGGTTTAGAAAAAAAAAAACACTTCTGGGGTCATTTGGGTGCATTTTCCATATCTCTGGAACCCATTGGTCGATTTTGGTGATTGACATCTCTTTTGAACCGTCAGAGCCAATAGAATCGAGGGGAAGTTCCTAAATCCATCTAAACATTACCCATTGGTGAACGAGTGATGCGTAGCATGCCCAAAACCGGAAGCTCTCATACACACTGTATAGCTCTCATAGCAGCTATATATGAAAACTCAGTTTTTGACATAAATGTTAATGATGGATTATCAGTAATCATTTCAAAGTGACACAGACACATTGGATTAACCTTCAGCAGCGTTTGTTTTATCGTTTTAATGCCATTCAACACAACTTTTGATCAGAACACAGCAAAGGTAAAACGCATTTGCCGTTTTGGCCCCGTAAAGCTAAGTTCTGTGTTGTCTGGTTTCGCCTTCGCTGGTCGCACAGTGATGATACTTATACCATTGGAATCTGTGGAATCTCAGCTTTCATATGATATCTTGTTTGTGCAGAATCGATTAAGTATAACATATTGCTAAGTGCGTTAGCACTCTTTCGCTTAGTGCTGATTCCGAGGCTTGGCGTTAGAGTTGTGTTTTGTTTCGGTAAAAATGGTTCATATTGTCAGAGTCACATTCATAGTTTGTTAAATGTTAAGAAGCCCTCAGACGCTGCTTCTTACAAGATGTTGCCGGTACCGGGGGCATGGGGCTTGCATTTTCAAGTATCAAGCATGATTTACCTACATTTGATTGATTTTGCTAACTTATAACTTAACTTATGAGGCGATATACCTCATCTCTAGTGAGTGGCCTAGCCCTTTGTATGTTTTCTGTATGTGGCCCTCACTGAAAAAAGTTTGGGCACCCCTGAGCTAAGGAATATCACACATAACAAATTTAACAATCCAAGAATATATCAGTGTATTTGAACTCTTTCCCCAATCTTTATTCAATGATAAACATTATTTAATTAGCATATGATTCCCTGCTTTCCATTTTGGACCGACCCCAAACCAGGTCTCTAGTGAAGGTAATTCCTGTTTGTTTGCTCTGGATGATGACTGTTGTCTTGCACACAGTCCTTTTACAGTATAACTATGTGACTAACTTGATTGATGGGAGACTCAACCGGACTTCTGTCAAATAATATATGACAGGTAGTTACCATCACATTTCCTCCACACAGTTCACATTCAGCTGAAACATATTTGGTGTCTTCTGAATCTGAGGCAGCTGTTCTGTTATTTTAAGGACCTACTGAGCTTGATGTATGCTTGCAAGGCGTGACTCGATTAGAGCCTAGATGCCAAATACCAACTCAATTCACATAGAAAGTCCATTCATGGGAGAGAGCTGGCTGAATTTAAAATATGAATAGGCCTTCTGATCAAATTAAAGCAATTACTGAGGCCTAATTTTTTAAACCTCTTGGTGCTCTGCTAAAGTCACAACAACATATAGGGCTAAACTGGGAAAGTGGCACTTCAGAGTTTAAAACCTAAGATTAGTGTCGAGCAATTTAGAGTTTTTCTGAAATATGATTCCATCTTGCAGTGTTTTTGTGTGTTTAAATCAGCTCACAAACACACCATAACAGACATAGTGCAGAATAAAGCTGTAAAACCGTTGTTTCCGGAGATTATATAATAGTGTATATGCAGGAATCCTGAAGTCAGATGTAAGACCTTTTAAGACCTTTTTAAGACCCTTTCCATACATTTTAAGACCTCATCGCCACTTTGAGTTTTAACCGGTTACCTTGGCGACACACTTTACCTCACATTGACTATATACAGTATTGATTGTCCTTCCTCCTTATCTTCCAACCATTTGGACGCAAACTTGCATTTCCCCATAACGATGTTGCTTAGCAACCGGCGTAAACGGGCCTTCGCGCGCTATCAAGCAGTGAGCGTGCGATGTCCTGTTCAGATGACGTCAAACCCAACGGGATGCCATCAATAAACTACACAGAATCACACTACACACCTACGCAATGATTACATTCAGGCAGACTGTAGAATACAACCTCTTTGGACAATTTATATACCTATTGAAAACAAGCTAAAACATTTAATACCTTGGGAAATACTTTTGTATGCATGCTTCTTAGGTAACATTGTCTTTGGCTCTTTTCACTGTAACAATGCACATTTCCCCTCTGTGGAAGGTATTCTGATTCTGATATGGCCTACCTTTGAAGTCCACCTCTCCGTTCCCGTCCGTATCGAAGATGTCGATGACCCTCTGCACCAGCGGGTTCTGCTGCAGCTCGGGCAGCGACATGAACTCCTCCACGCTCAGAGAGCCCGAGTTATCCAGGTCGAGTTTCTTAAACCTCTTCCCTAGCCTCTTAATCTCATCAGCATCGACTGCACAAAGACACAAAGAGAGAGAGAGGGAAATAGATGACACATTTTCCTTGCAGACATTTAAATAATGTTCTAAGCAATTGTCAGAATAAGAATGCAGTAAGTGTGCAGGGGTCAGACAGATGGTGCCCTGATAGCACTCAAAACTCGGCCTTAACCAGGAATGGAAAGAACATAAAATGAAAACAAGATTTGGGTCGAAATGACAGGAAAATGAGACACAGCACAATGCACCTGCAAATATGAATATCCTACTAACACCTGCATGAACTGTATAGTCATACATTGAAGTAGCCAACACTTGCATCTGGGTCAAGGACACCACTTCCGGCCCGCACAGGACGGAGCTCCGAGCAGACCCACAGAAACCACAGTACATTTTGTTCTGCCTCCTCCACAGAGACCTCAACTATTGAAAAAGCTAGTACAGATGAAAACATGTTACCTTAAACCAGTCCTCGGTAGAAGTGATAAAGTAAGAATGAGCAGAAAGACAAACACATAGATCTTGCAAACTTACAGCCTTTGTTGACAACCGGTGCTTTCTTAATATTGAATTTCAGTTGCCCTGCCATCAGAAACAGCTCCGCAGCCGGTGTAATGCACAATGGCAAGGAGTAATCCAGAAGCATTAATAACGCCAGTTAATAATTACTATATAAGCTTATTCACACCTTGTCACCTGATCCTGTCGGCCAATCACAAACTACTAGAGCTGGGATCCTATATGACAGGAGCTATCTATTCATCTACAAGAGAGAAGGAAAGGTGCGACTTTACGAGGCAAATACTTTATTCATATCAGATGTATTAACCTCCACAAGGACAGGGAAAGATAACAGTGAATGTTTGATGTTAACAAAAGTATAAACCTGATTCAAAAGCAACTCTTACCCATGCTCTTTTAATCATCCACTGCATTCAAGAGGATCATTGTGCTCATCTTCAGGTTATATTTTGTGTCTCTACTGGGACATGTATTCATGCTTTTATGTTCAAAATGCTCTTTATTTTTCTCATACTGCCTGTGCTGCAGCACCTCTTTTCACCCTCCGTCTGAAACCAGAGCCCAGTCTGCTGATTGGGTAGCTGGCCGGCTCTGCACCTGGTAAATTGAATTAGTGATACAAAAGCCACTGCAGCCTGGTAATTAATACAGTTGTTTGCCCTGTGAACCGATGCAAAAGAACAGCCCTCAGTGTACAATGGATGCCTCTAATACTGCGTTTCATTTCCATAATTTTTGCACACATTAGGTGGATTTATTCTGAATGAGTAGCCGCTGGTTTACTGCTTTGTTCTCATGTATCTGAATACTACTGATACACGTTGAATCTGCACACAAACAGGTACAAACAGATACAAGCAGCCATGTTTCTGTGTCCCACTGTGTGTGAGTTATCGGAGCGTAGCACACAGCTGTCCTCTCACACAAAACACTTCCTTATCAGCAGCCTCCCATTTCCTGTTCACCGCAGATGACACCAGCTCAGTCACAGCTACAGATAATCATTCAAGGGTAGGACTTGTATCAAGGGAGCTGCCCTGAGGCAATACTTTTTTCATTTGCAGTGTGGTTATAAATGTATTTTTGCTTCAGGGTTCAGCCTTTTCCTGACACACACACACCTCACATTCTGCATGTTGGTGCGAAACCAACGGCACAGAACAACCGAGATAGCATCTCTTACTTTGGTCCAGCAATAACTTTATAATTAAGTTTAAAGTGTGGTCATTTCAACTTGAATTTAAACTGCGCTACGGTTCTGTGTATCTCAAAATGTTGAAAGTGGTATTATTATTATTATTGTAAATCAACAGATTGAGACTTCCAGGGTTTAGGGTTTTATTCCCACTCTGGCCAATGGTCTTAATGTGCAAACATTGACCTATAGTAACCCTACATTTGGGCTTATTGTCTACGAAATAATAGGATGATGTAACCTCAATAGTTTTATGTTGATCTTGTATGTTTTTTTGTTTTATTTGTGTGTGGTGCTAAAAATCTATTTTTCATTTAAGTCATTTTTAAGCTATTTTTTTACAAAAATAACAAGGCACCAGCCCCTTCAAAAAGCATGTATTTGCTGTTTTAAATTGTAAACTTCAACATGTTTGGGTCTCTGATTATTGGTCAGACACATCATGACATCTGAACATGTCCCACTAGGCTCTTGGAAGTTGTTATGGGAATAGTATAGCATGTTATAGACCAGATGATTCATCAAATAATAGACGGATTCATCAACAATGACATTAATCAATCTTAAATCCTATAAATATGTATACACCTGACTCTGTGAAGTAGAACCATGTTCATGTTAACCTTTTAACCAGCCCCCTTTTGTTGCTTTACAGTCAGGTGAGTGGCATAAGAAGGATCCCAGATGAAAAAGCCCTCTGACATTTACTAAACGTGGTGCTGTGGCTGCGTGGGGAACATCTGAACACCGAGCACATGATCCCTTCCTGCCCCCAGCTGCAGTGAGTAGGTGCAGCTATTATCCATGCTTTCACACAGTCTGAGTCCCTGAGTCCCCTTCCCCTCGTCTGCCAGAAACCCAGACAGACTCCCAGAGGAGCCAAGGAAAACTCATGACTAAGACCATGATGCAGCACTTTTACTACAGCATCCAGTTTCACTTACTTATTTGACATTGCATTTATCTTAACTATCCCCCTTATTTAAAGCAGTATTTTGTACCCTTCTCGCCAAATCATCAAGTTAGACACTGTCCAGATTTATTTCTCTGTCCCCTCGATTGGCAGAAGAGCGTTCATGTTCAAAGACTGGAATACTTTACCTGCTGCTATTAGATCTCTTGCATCATTGGGTATATTTAAACATGCATTATCATCTCACTTTCAACTGGTCTGTACTTGTTATTAATGAAACTGATATTAATGAAACTGTTATTAATGAAACTGTTATTAATGAAACTGTTATTGATGAAACTGTTATTGATGAAACTGTTATTGATGAAACTGATTTGCTCGACTGTCTCAAATTGTAATGATTGTATGTATTACTTGAATGTTACTTAACAGACTGTGCGTGGTTTGTCTTGTGTGTCATGTTTTGCTTTTTGTCTTTTTGTCTATGTATGTCTGTAAGTTGTTGCTATTGTCGGGACGCCCTTGAAAACGAGATGGTGCATCTCAAGGGGTTTATCCCAATAAATAAAATGTCTATATATATATGGCTCCTACTGAAAACAGTTAGCAAGTCCTGCAGCACAGTGGGAGGTTTACGGCTTTACAGAAGACACTGAATTCTAATGAGATTTAACTATTTCCTCATGCAAACTCTTTACAGTGAGTGCAGTAAAAAAGGCTTAAATGTCCTCGAGCTTCACAAGCACCGACTGCCAACATCTCTGGTGCGATGACAGGCATCGAATAACTGTCCAACAAATGAACTGCTCGGCAGCCTTGGTTTGCTCACAGTAGGAAGAGCAGAACCAAATAAAACGCTGGAACAAAGGGTCGCAGGTGTGGGAACAAATATGAGAGCCAGGGAAGAAAAGGATGAGATGTTCTTCATTTTTTGCACATGCAATTACAGACGGGAGGGGGAGTTGCTCTTGCAGAAAGAGTGATGGAGAACACGTGGAATATTTAACATTCTGTGTGTAGTTCATCTCTTCATTACTATGTTTAACGAAACAGCTTGTTGTGAAGGGATTTCAAGTGAGTAGGTGGGATAAAATGGACCATGTTCTTGCTGATAAGTAGCCTCCTCCTGACCCCCCCTACAGAGGAGGAGGAGATGGATGGTTTTAAACCCAGCGCAGGCCTTACTTTGCATGTTTCAGCCTCTGGCGGGAGAGACAGCTGCGATGATGTGGGCGATGTTGAAAACTGACACTCGACTGCACATCTTTGTCCCGTGTGGATTGTTAGAATATGGATAAAGGCTGCAGGTGGTACATGATGGTTAAATCACATTTAAACCACATTTGGTGCATGAAAGTCGATTTTTGATATACCTTTTAGGGCAAAAGATTCATTTTTATATTTACCAAGAGGATGGAAAGATGATATTTTGATTTAATTAGTAAGATATATGTCCATTCATTTGGTTTAAACAATAATATAGAGGCAAAATGGAAGATTTAGGAGAAAATGATAATGTTGTATGTGACAGGGACAGCTCTCTCTGCGGGAGCTCCTCACACACTGTGCTAATGATCGTCTCTGAGGGAGACCCGATGTAACTGTGAGATGATTATGATAATCTCATATACTCCGACACAGAGAACACACACTTTCATAAGCGCTGTATGCACCCTCAACTGTGTTACTAGGCAACTGGAACCTGTTAGCCCCACGAAGTAGCCCACACACACACACACACACAATCTCTGGATGGTATGGAGAGCCTTTGTGTGATTTCAGAGGATGCACATGCAACCTGTTAGCCTGCTGAAGACACACACACACACACACACACACACACACACACACACACACACACACACCCACACACACACACACACACACACACACACACACACACCACAACACACACACACACACACACACACACACCACAACACACACACACACACACACACACACACACACACCACACACACACACACACACACACACACACACACACACACACACACACACACCACACACACACACACCACACACACACACACACACACACACACACACACACAACACACACCACACCACAACACACACACACACACACACACACACACACACACACACACACACACACACACACACACACAAGGTGAACGCTTGAAAACACATGCATATGTAGATGTCATCAGCTTCAGGCTCACACTCTGTCTGTCACACACGAGCATCGATTGGCATGAATAAATAATACTGCAGTGTTTGTCCAAATGTCCTCGTTCTGCTGGATGTTGTCTTGCATGTTTTAATGTACTGCTTGTGCCGTTCTTGCTGTAGTGTCGAATTAGGGCTGGGAAATTACTCAAAAACTCAAATCAAATTAGGATTTCGGCTACCGGGCATTATGAGACAAGATAATTGTTTTAAATACAGAACACCTGCGCCTGTCCTTTACAGCAGTTTTCACTGAGTTTCTCACCGGACTATGTTTAATGTAGTTTACCAACATTTTGTAACAAATGTTTGTGTTAGTGTGTGCCACATTTGATCTAAAATATTCTGTCTAATATATCTAGTGGTGTTCAGTAGATTAAAGTTGTATAAGTGCAATGATTTTACGACAACGTTTTTTTTTGTATGGAAGGTATTTTATGTGTTGATCAGTATTTTTATTCTAATTTATGTAATTTCTTTAAATACTGTATTTTTGTCTGAGTTTTTAGAATTATATTTTATAAATTAAATCCACCGTTAAAAAGGAAAATGTTTTATCTTAATTTCAATAAATGCATGAAATTCTGAAATACAATAAATAGTCATGTTTAGAAATGATTAGCCTAATATTGATCATGGTGATGATTAAAGCACAATGTGTATCAATATGTGTTTTCACGTTATTGCTATACAGATTATGATTCAACAAAAGACAATCATAGTTTATTAGATTTAGCATTAGCAAATTCAATATCAAAATCAATACCAGTGTTTTCATAATTGATGAAATCTTCTTTTTGGGAAGCCTCTCTGATGGCACATCACACGTTCTTCCCGCCCATCATTACTGCGCAGCTAACAGCTAGCTGAAGCTAAGCAATAAACAGAGTGCTTCTGGCATTCCTTCCCCATTTGTGTTCAATTATAAAACACAATGTTCCCCAAATGTCATTAATGAATTTGCTCTCATAAGCGCGCTGGAGTCATGTGACTGAATTAACTCAGAGAGGGAGGAAGTGATACACAGAGAGAGATTCAGCCGACATGTTACTGATAGTTACAGCGAGACCCTCCGCTCTATATAGCTCCCCCAACACACAAGATAAGGTGTGAAGGGGGGGGGGGAACATGAGAAGGTTACATGCACAGCTCAGTAATTACACACACATGAGACACATGACACTGTGCATGTTACTATAGCCAGCTGTTCTGAGCCAATGAGGGTGGAGCGTCGTCTTGTCAGGAGACAGATACAGATACGATAATAAAGCCACAGATTGCATCAAAGAGGAACTCCTAAATCAGTTGACCAGAACTGCTTTGCGTGAGACAACTTTTGCTTTCAATTTGACTTAATTTAAAGTTTTCAAATCAACTTTATCATCAAGGCTACAGCTTAGTTTGTGGCAATGAACATGTTCAATCCCAGGCTCCTTCAGCAAATAAAAAAAATACAATTAAGGCAAAATAAAAGAAATAAAATAGTGCTTCTGTAGCCCTCAAGGGTTTGAAGAAAATAACCAGGTGAAGAATGAAAAGTCAGCGTGGGTCTGGGGACAGAAATATGTTTTATGGAAGTACAATACTAAATGTGTCTCATGGGGAAATTGGCATTTCATAATAGCTGAGTAAATATGTGTAAACAACACTTGTGTACATGGTTTTGCAAGAGTAGCACAAGTATGACAACAAGATATGATAGAGAATTTTCTTTGCTTTTTTCATTCTAACAAACTGATTTTCTATGAATCGTGTCAGTGCTCTAAGCGGCACGAACGTTTCCCCTTGTGTATTTTCTTAGTTAACAAAATGCAGGAGCGTTAACATTTGGAAAAGTCATAGAAAGATTTTGAACTTCCTCTCTTTCAGTCCCTCAGTCTCAGTTTCATTTAGGCGGGCGATAAGAGGCGTCCATAAAGTAGCCGCAGTGTGTGTGCCACAGAGTGTGCGTAGCATAGAGTGTGTGTACCACAGAGTGTGTGTGCCACAGAGTGTGTGTGCCACAGAGTATGTGCCACAGCGTGTGTGTTTCACATTGTGTGTGCCACAGAGTGTGTGTGCCACAGAGTGTGTGTTTCACAGTGTGTGTACCACAGAGTGTGTGTGCCACAGAGTGGAGCTGCAGGACTCTGAGCATTAGCTGATTGCTCTGATAATGTACAGCTCGCCCCGGCATGGACTCACTGAGGGCGGGGCGGGGCAGCACACTGACACTGTGTATTTATAGCTGTGCTGTCATCAGAAAACCCCTAACTCACCCCGCCACCTCCACCAGCCGAGGCTTCCGCCCTCAGGGAAACCCCCACCAACAAGGAACTCCAGCGAGCCGCCCGGCGTTTATTTTGGGCGGCAGCGGATAAGCCTGAGATGCTTTCAGGCTGCGATCCTCTTTGAGAGCATGAGGGGGTGAGGCATGTGTGTGAAAAGAGTGGCGGTGCAGAGTGGGCGGGTGCATGCACTCGAGAAATATGTGTAGTTTATAAAAGTGTGTGTTTCAATGTGGTTTGTGTGCCAAATCCGAAAAGTAGGCCATTACATTTTGCCTGATCTAAACTCGGTAGAGCCAACCGTTGTGAAACACTGAAGATACAGGCCTTTTAAAAATCGATTTTACTCCATCAAATCATAGTTTTTGGAAGTTTTATATTTATTTGTCTAATGGCAAAATGGTTTGCATTACATTATATAATAGTTAAAGAGGCCCTATTGTGCTTTCCTGTAGTGTAGGTTAGTTAGTATAGGTTTTGTGCATGTAAATGGTCTGCAAAGGCTAAAATCACCCCCCCTTAAATGCCTCCATTGTAGTCCTTTCTTTAGTTTTGTAACATAGTGACATCACAATATAAGACTTGCGCTTCTATTGGCTAGCGCTCCAACACATTGTACATGATGATTGACATCTCTAAGCGGTTGACCAATCACAACAGAGAAGACAGGGCTCTAGTTTCAGTCAGAGGGTGAAGAGAGGCATAATCTGACAACACATTTTATTTGAAAGACTTTTTCTGAATTAGAAAATGTGTTTCAATACACTATAGTGCACAAAGTCAAACATCTGTGTATGTGTTGTGTTCTTAAAAATGAAAATGCAGCACTGCTCTATACCGTACTTTGTGATCCCTTTTATTGAGACAATCTCCTTGTGTTTATCTTCCGCACATCAACAAAGAGGTCATAATTGTGTGATGACAGGTACAGGTGAGCGGGTGTTGGACTGCCCCGTCTTACTGAGGGCAGCGAGGTTGCAGCGGGTTAATCTTTCGGACATGAAGGCCACAGCTAATTTCCTCACAGCCAATGAGCGGCTGTCCGAGCGCTTGAGGAGCTGAACAGCTGCTCAGTGGGAGGAGGGAGAGAGAGGCCGAGGAGGAGGGAGAGAGAGAGAGGAAAATACATCTAAGAAAGAGAAACTCAGAGACAAAAAGAATGACAAATATAAATGGTATGGTGTAAAAAATCTTATAATAATAAAGTAAGTCATCCTGGCATAAATGCTAATATGCCTGCAGTCAGGGTGGAGCAATAATCTGGTTTTCAGCATTGATATCAATATTCATATTATAATATATAGTTTATATGCATATTTCACTATTACTATTTTTACTTCCTTGTTATTATTTATTATTTTTGTATTTTATTGTAGTCATAAATAAAGCAACTGTTACAAAACGCAATGTTCCTACTCAGAAGTATTTCTGAGTACCTACCTGTTGCACTATTAGTCTAGCATTTTGTCAGAAGTGTGTCTATTTAAATAGTTCTTTATTAGGGATATTGTAAAAAAAAAACGTTGTCTTAATCTGATTATAACAAAGTTATTTGATGTTTTTACATTTATAATAGCTATTTTTTACTGAAATGAAAGAAAGCAGGACAGTCAAGGAGAAGAGATAAACAGATAGACTTGAATATGGAAAGAGAGATGCTAGAAAAATCACAGACTGAAAGCAGAGGTCCTTGCAGGGTTCAGTTCAGGGTCACACATCACCCAAATCCTCCTCCCCTCACCAGGGTTGCACATCCTGGAGGAGGAACACCCGAAAGGCAGACCGAGGTCCTCCGAGGACAGTAAAGCAAGCCAAGTGCGTAGAGGCCACACGAGGACAGTAGAGCAAGCCAAGTACGTAGAGGCCACACAAGGACAGTAGAGCAAGCCAAGTACGTAGAGGCCACACTGTGATCACAACTGTAACAGGAGTCATTTTAAATATGTTTGTGTTTGTATGCATGTGTTGGTTGGACAGGCCTCAGATGATCCCAAAGTGACACATCATGCTTCAGAGTTTAAGCATCAAACAAGTACTGCCAGTCCTCTGTTGTTGCGCTATCACTGAGCTCCAGCCAGCATCAATTATTGACAGAAAAACGTAAATGTATGTGCATGTTTTTTTAGAGCATTTTATCAACTGTTTATAAAAAGATCAGAGTTGCAGAAAAGACAAATATAGTCAGTTAATATATATATTAAGCAACCTTTCTCCCATCTTCTTCTACTCTGCCTTTGTATTTAAACTGCTGCACTTTTGGGTCAAGATCACAGCTTGTAATATTCCTCGCTTTTGCAAAAATAAATATATTTGACTGCCTGTCTCTTACAGAAGAGGATATGATACGAAAATTGAGCAGGAAAATATTCAAAATACTTACAATGCGTGCACATCTCCAGCGGGAAACTGCCTTCATTTCCCTAAAGAAAACAGAGAGACAGAGGTGTCAAAAAAGCACAAGAACAACTTCATATTATGTTCAATATTTGGAATTAAACACTCTGGGACGTTTCTGTCATTACTAAAATATAACAATAGGATACATTCTTGATATGATCTAAAATAGCATATTATTTGCATTTGAGTACACGTCATTATGTAAATTGTTTCCCATGTTGAAATCCTTGTAATCATCACGCTTTTTTGCCGTTTTCTACAGTTGTTCTTCAAAAGAACAATGGCTCCTGCTGGAAACAGTGAACAGACAGTAGGACAGGTGATCTGTGGTGAGCAGGCGCTGAATTCATTTTCATACCACAGGTTTCTCAACAACAGAAACACTGCAGACAATGGAGCAATTCAGCTGTGTGCACCTGAACATTCAGACATGTGATCATGAGGCAGAGATGCAGGTTTAACAGCTAAGACTCTGGACCCTGTACTGTTAAATAAAAAGATGGATTGTAACTTCAGACAGTATTGTTTAGTACGATGGGTATTGATGTAGAATGGTGGGAATGAGCAAAGAATGAAGCTGTGTTGGTATTACAGAAACGCTCCGGCTGAATCGAGCATTAAGACTTTCTGAGATATTGTTTTGATCAAAACATCAATCTTTCAACGCGAGGCTTCAGTGCTTTCAAAGTGAAACGTCATTGTCTAGACCAGTGGTTCCAAACCTGGGGGGCGCGCCCCCCTTGGGGGGGCGCCAAAGATCGCAGGGGAGGCGCCAGGCCTCAGATGATTTGAGGCCAAATATCATATTTTTTTTTTTAAATGTTTTTCTTTTTTCTTTTACATGTAATTGTAACGCAATACATGATTGTCATTAAAAGCCTTGTCTCTACATTACAATAAAATATAAAAAATAATTGATTAATTCATTTGAATACAAATTCAAGTTAGTAGCTATTAAAGGCATAAAAAGACAGAAATGTATAATTCTTTCTTTAATATAAATGTTTCTTCTGCGCGTTAAGTGTCCAAACCGGGCTTGTCTGGATAAGTGCATTTTTAAAACATAGTCATTGTCCATGCCGGTTTCAGTTGGATTATTTGTCACAGTTGCTCCGATCCGATCGGTCTCCTCCATTTTGTAGAATATTTACGACTTTTGAATCCACATAAACACATCGGCAAAATCCGGCTTACTTTGAGCATGTGTTTTAAACAGTTTAATCCCTTTGTGAATTGTTTCCACTTCCGCGCCGTCCTTTAATTTCTTCATACAGCGGGAATCCAAATGAATTAATCCTGAGTCCAATAACCATCAAAGTCACTCCAATAGTGCTCCTTAATTACGCTTTCATCCTCCTTTAACAACATACTTCACATTCGTCCAGTTTGTGACAGTAGTTGTAGCATTTTGAGACTTTGAAACTTTAATTACCGCTGTTGCGCCCCCCCCCCCTTGTGTGTGTGTGTGTGTGTGTGAGGGGGCGCAACTTCCAACAGGAGTCATTTGGGGGGGCTCTTGGGAAAAAAGGTTGGGAACCACTGGTCTAGACGATGGATGTGCATTCCTCAGATAGCCTGTGTGCAAAGGTGTCCTTGACGTATTTACTGCAGATCACGAGGCAGGACAGATAAGAACTTTATGTTTAAATGATAATATTTTGCACAGTTTTCTGCTTACATTGGATACGAACAACCTTTTAGATTGTGGGATAGATTGTTGCATATTTGTAATGGTCACTCTAAATTATAAGTTTAAAAACTGTGGATATGACATTCTCTTTCATCAAAATGATTGAAGTTAAAATGAGAAAGCGCTGAGTGTATTTTGGCATTAACCTGTAAAAGAAAACTTAAAAAAAAAGGCAAAAAAGACCCCAAAAAAACACAAATACACTGAGCAAGTTACCAATATTGATATATCGGTTTGAATTATACTTGTGTTGAAGTTGAGGGATGTTAAATCCTGATGTTTACTGAGATTAGGGTGAACTCTTGTGTGGTAAAGGAAATAACTAAAGATCGCATGCAACACAAACACAAGCCACTTACAGTAAAAAACTATTCTGGGAACATTGAGAGTAACGTTTCCCTCAAACTCCTTGAGACGACTCCCCATTTGCATCCTCTCAAATCACGCAAAGGCTCTCCATACCATCCAGAGACTGTATAGTGGTGTGTGTGTGTATATGTGTATGTGTATGTGTGTGTGTGTGTGTGTGTGTGTGTGTGTGTGTGTGTGTGTGTGTGTGTGTGTGTGTGTGTGTGTGTGTGTGTGTGTGAGTGATCTGGCTCATGTCCAGCAGTCACATCCACATCACAACACTGCAGTGTTCACTGAGCCTGAGTCTGATTGCTGGCAGAGAGGCTGAACGCTCACATGGAGCAGAGAGGAGTTCCTGTGTGGGCGAGGGGATCCTACAGTTCAGAGAGAGAGAGAGAGCGAGAGAGAGAGAGAGCGAGAGAGAGAGCGAGAGAGAGAGCGAGAGAGAGAGCGAGAGAGAGCGAGAGAGAGAGCGAGAGAGAGCGCGAGAGAGAGAGCAAGAGAGAGAGAGAGAGAGAGAGCGAGAGAGCGAGAGAGAGAGAGAGAGAGAGCGAGAGAGCGAGAGAGCGAGAGAGCGAGAGAGAGAGAGAGAGAGAGAGAGAGAGAGAGAGAGCGAGAGCGAGAGAGAGCGAGAGAGAGAGAGAGAGAGAAGCTTCAGGCCAGCAAGCTATCAACCCCAACTGCAGCTCCATCGAGGAACACCAAACTGGATGTATTATCATTATTATTATTATTTTGTATATATTGATTGTTGTGCTTTTATTTAGGTCTTAATGTGTGCATATGTATACATGTGTCTTTTGATAGGTATACATATTTGCATCCATATGTTTATATATATTTGTTTTTGTATTCGGGATTGTGTGAAACGGTATGTCGATCTCTCTGTCTGTACACACAAACTGAGAGATTGACAATAAAGTAGACTTTGACAACTGGATATACACACAGAGTTCATGACCCCCCTACTGACTGTAGCTTCTGGTCAAGGAAGTTGGTTTGAAAAGCTCTTAAAGCGACACACAGCTCCACTATACACGCTGAGCTTGTCACAAAAAGCCAGTGCTAGTTATGTCATGTAGCTTATCTCTGTGTTGCCGTACACAAGCAGACTTACCTCAGAGAGGTTGGGGTATTTTAAGAACAGTGAGGAGAATGAGCTGACACAGGATTAGCCAGGATAGCGACTTAGCATTTGACACTGTGTCAGGAGTTACTGGGTGTCCCATTGCAGGTGTGGCTCTGAAGGTCATTCGGACCATTTATTGATCCCTGTAGGAAAAGGTCCCTTTGTTTGCTTCACTACACTGAGCTAGCTGAAGGAGACCAGGAGACTTAAGTCATTGTTCACATCTTTATTTTGTTTTTCTGGGTCAGGATTAAAGAAACTGTATTCATTGATGCCTTTAGTACACAGCATTTCAGCATCCATAAAGTGAACTGAGTTATAATATTTAAAAACATAGGTCAGTGCTTCATATTCAGCACAGTTTCTATGTGTGAAGACTTTCTTTATCTTGGCTGGTGGCCAGGAGGAGGTCATGCAGACATAGCAGGTGTTTCATGTCATGAGTCTAGACTGCACCTTTACTTCAGCTGTCGTACAATATGTAGCACGTATAGAAGTCGCCTAGATAAGCAAACAAACTGGGAACATCTGTTTGATCATGTGTGTCTAAGCTTGTCATAAACACACAGCACCATAACTCGCCTCAGGGTAGACCTGTGCTGTCCAAAAAGAGTTGAAATGAAAGTGATTCCCAAATCAAAACATGGTTCCCTGACAAATAATGTCCACCAGTTTATTTAAACACCAAACAAAGATTCACACGGCAAGTTTTTGATGTTTCATTCAAGTGCATTTCTGTTTTGGTGGTTTGAAGAACAAATCCATGGCAACACTCAACATAAGCTAATCATGCCATGTCAAATAAAGATAGGAATGAATGACAGTCACAGAAGGTAGCTGACTTTGTGTGAAAAGGAGACACTTTTACAAGCACACACACACACACACCATGTATACATCACTTCAGGGGACATTACATTAACTTACATGCATTTCCTGGAGACTTATCCTAACCTTAACCATAACCAACACATGCCTAACCCTAACCAAGTCTTCACCCTAAAATTAATGATTCCCCTTATGGGGACCTCCAATTTGTCCCCATAAGACTTAGGTCCCCACAAGTATAGTAATGCTAGGCCACACACACACACACACACACACACACACACACACACACACACACACACACACACACACACACACACACACACACACACACACACACACACACACACACACACACACACACACACACACACACACACACACACACACACACACACACACACACACACACACACACCACACACACACACACACACACACACACACACACACACACACACACACACACACACACACACACACACACACACACACACACACACACACACACACACACACACACACACACACACACACACACACACACACACACACACACACACACACACACACACACACACACACACACACACACACACACACACACACACACACACACACACACACACACACAACTAACGTTGTTATGTTACACGTCACGCCTCTTTTGACCCGTATTTTGGTTTTGTGTAAAGAAGAAAGGCCGGTGAGGGTGGAGCTTCTGAACAGGAGTTATGTGAACGTTCTTTTTAAAAGTGTCTTAAAGGTGGGGTAGGTAAGTTTGAGAAACCGGCTCGAGATACACTTTTTGTTATATTCCATGGAATGCTCTTAACATCCCGATACCAATGAATATCTTAAGTGCTTTGACAACAAATCTATAAAAAATGTCATCACTGGAAGCCGTAGTGCTGTAAAAAGCACGACCAATCATCTGAGCCGGCCCGGCTAAAGTAACTGGATGGCCTACCTGCCTGTCAGCCTTCCATCTGGGCACAAACTTATCTCGTGCCCTCATTGGTCAT